GCATTTATTTCTTCGTTTTTAGCAGCTTTTTGATACCAATAAAAGGCTTTTTCTAAATTTTTTTCTGTTCCTTCACCTTTATAATATAAACTTGCAAGACTATTTTGTGCATTTATTTCTTCGTTTTTAGCAGCTTTTTGATACCAATAAAAGGCTTTTTCTAAATTTTTTTCTGTTCCTTCACCATTATAATATAAATTTGCAAGATCATTTTGTGCATTTATTTCTTCATTTTTAGCAGCTTTTTGAAAATAATAAAATGCATTTTTATAATTGGGCTTTATTCCAATTCCAACATAATTATTTAAACCAATTTGTCTTATTCCTTTAAAATAAATTATTTTATAAAATTTATTTATTTTGTCTTTATTTATATTAATATTAATATGATAATACTTTATTAAATTGTCTCTTGCAATAATATTTCCATTATTTGCTGCATTTTTATACCAATATAAAGCTTGTTTTTTATTTATTTCTATTCCGATACCATTAAAATAACAATTTCCAAGTTGATATTGTGCATCAGAAATTTCTTTTTCTGCCAATATATTATAATATTTAAATGCTTTATTATCATCTTTTTCAACACCTTTTCCTAACTTATAACAATCTGCCAAATGAAGTGTTGCAATAATATTTCTATTACTAGCTGCTTTATAATACCAATAAACTGATTTCTTTTCATTTTTCTTGGTTCCGATGCCATATTCATAGCAATGTCCTAAATAAAACTGTCCTACTATGCTTCCATTTTCTACTGATTTTTGATACCATTTAAATGATAGTTTTTTATCACATTCTATTCCATATCCATTATAATAACATTTAGCAAGATAAACTTGTGAAATTGAATAATTTTCTTCTGCTGCTTTAAAAAAAAATTCATATGCTTTAACACTATCTTCATCCATACCAATATTTAAATAATAAAATAATCCAAGCAACCATATATATTGTGGATTTTGCTGCTTTTTTAACCAATCTAAAAGATTTTCAATTTGACTTAATCGTGATATCTTTTGCTTAATAAAATGGTTAATTTGATTATAAGTAATTCCTTCATTGTGTTTTTTAATTACAATTTTAATTAATTTATCAACAGTTATATGATTTATAAATATTGAATCGAATGAGTCTTTTGATAGATTATTAACTCGAAAAATCGAAGTTAAAAAGTGGTTTTTAAAATCCGTTATGCTTGAAAGTGATTTATTACTTCGCAAACTTGAACTGCTTTCATTATTATTCTTATAAAAATTAGTTATTTCTAAATCCTCTAAATCATCATCTATCTCTTTGCTTGATTTAAGGCTAGATTTATTAATATTAACTAATGAATTATTTTTGAAATTCGTCATATTTGATTGAGAAGATTTTACTTCAGTGTAATTTTTAATATCTTCAGTTAATTCTAAACAATCTAAATCCTCATCTATTTCTATACTTGATTTGGGGCTAGATGAACCATTTATCGGTAATTCAATTTCTTCATTAAAATTAGCATTAATAATTTCACCATTTTCAAGAGAGATAATTGTTCTAAGAGTTGAAACGACTTTTTGAATATTTGGACGCTCATCAGTTTCGTATTCCCAACATTCTAATTGAAAGAATAAGGATTAGATTTGTTTATAAATAAAAAATGTAATTTATATTATTTACCTCGATATAGATTACTATATTCAGGTGGTGTTCCATCAATAATGTTTTCTCTTTTGCCATTTAGTATAGACAGAGACAAACATTCATCATAAATAACATCTTTAAACGGTTGATATCCACTTGACATTTGCCACATCAAGACTCCAACACTATAGACGTCGGATTTTTTATTAAATTTGTAATCCATATTTTTATCTAAGCTTTTTGGATCCATATATGGCAATATACCAAATACTTTCGATGCAATACTTGATGCTTCAGCAATTTTTTTTGATAAACCAAAATCTGACAATTTAATAGATTTCTGATGGATAAGTATATTCTCTGCATGCTATAATGTATTAATGAACAAATTTTTGATTAGTCGATAAAATAAATAAATCATAGATTTTAAAAAAAGTTGACAGTTACCAGATCGCAATGAACAATTTCACAATCGTGTATGAACTCCACAGCACTTGCCAATTGTAAAGCTAGCTGATATTTGTCATTCCAATCAAGTTCATTAAAATGTTCATTTAAATAAGCATTTAATGTTCCGCCATCAGCATATTCCAAAACTAAAGAATACTTGTTAATATGATGGATATTTGCTTTCCATAAAAAAAAAAAAAATAAAATTAATATATTTGTCGAAAATTAGAATTATGTTATTAACATTTACCAGTTCTTTCCCTTGTGACACCAGTAAACCGAATAATATTTGGATGAGAATCAACTCTTTTATGTAATTTTATCTATAAAGAATTTTAATTTAAATTATTTTCAAAATCTTGTTAACTTTTAAATTATTATATTTATTTACCTCATTTACAATTTCTTTCAAAGTTATTATATTGTTATTGAAAGATTTCAAAGCAAAATAACGATCTGGATTTTTCCAGTTCGCACGCATAACGTTTCCAAATGAACCATTTCCGATTGGTTCTAAATTGTCAAAGTCCGAATATTCATAATGGATTAAATATTCATCAGAGATTGATTTTTCTAACCAATCGACATAAATATTTGATATTTCAGGGTTATTCGACATTTCTACTTTATATAAAATTTAATTATGACCGTCTTTAGGGCTTTTAAATAAAAAAAATTTTCGGAGTTCAATTCCGATGCAGAGTAACCCAGTACAGTAAATGTAATGTATCGGCCCATTTTGATCGACGAAATTTCTTCCTTATATAATTCAATTTTAAATCTTTCAAAAATTTTACTTTTTTTTTTTTTTTATTATAATTTACTGAATATATAATTGTTTGTACTTTACCTTTCTTCACAGAACTATTTGTTGAAATAAACCAGGAATTTATGTACGCGTTCTTGCTTTTCAAAACCTATTGCGTTGATGACGCATCAAGACGGTTATCTAGATGAAAAATATTATTTAATATAAAGCCACTTTGAGGCGCAGCAAAGAGTCAGACAGTAATAATCCTAAATGTGTATGTATTTATGTAGTCTCAGTTATTGAATTATAATTAATACTCTGCAATATACTCAAATTTTGGTGATTCTATCACAAGCCAATCGATGGCTTTCATTTTTATTATTTTTTATCAAAATAGTTGCTTTTAAATTTTCGAAAACTTTTAAAGATATTCCATAATATATATTTTAACGAATATTAATTGTCTGAAATGAAAATTTAATCCTGGTACTTTTCAAATCCTCCTACAATTATATATATTTTTCAATAAAAAAAATTACGTTAATTCCCTAATTATGATGATCTCTCACCAGAGACTTGCAACGAACCAGAAACCCAGCTAGGACCTGATTCAAGGACGTGTGCGGGCTGGCAAATTATTTCGCGTCGTGGTTCAAAGTACCAGCCCGGAAATTTGTTATACTTTAATTTTGGCAAAAATTATAATTTAATTAAATTTAGCAGCTGATTATATTTTTATAGAGTATGAGATTAGTTATGAGAAACGAATTTCTTTCCAAAGATAAATCTCCAGGTATGGAAGTTAGAATGGAATATGCTTATACAGGAACCGTTAAAGAATCGTTGAAGCTTTAATTTCCTGAAATTCAAATAATCTTGTTGTTTTGTTGCCGATCATTTTATAATGTTGTCGCTTTACTGTTAAAATATTTTTTTTCTTATTTTTTTTTTTTAAAGAGAAAAAGGAAATGAAATGAACAATATGTCATAGCAAATTGTTAAAATGTCAAGTGAAAAAAGCAGAAAAAGTGGAGTTTGGTTGTAATTTAATAATTTATTGACACAACAGTAGTTAGTTTTATTTGCAATGAAAATTTGTAAAATATATATACCGTATATATTACTATTTTTTGTAATAAAAATAATATGATTGAATTATTAAAAGAATTTCACAGCACCAATTAGCATAAATTATCAAGTTGTCATTTTATTAATTTTGAGCCGAGCCGGGCTTCAAAATTTGGATTTATGCAGGTTTCTAACATGAACAATTTAAGTCGAAGAAAGTTATCTAATTTAAGTTTACATATCAATATTTCTCCTTGAATAAATACTGACTTGACCATTGAGTCTCAGGAAAGCAATTTATTGTTTATGTGTTAAAATTTCGAAAATAACAATATTTTATTGGCAAAACTGCGTATTCGAAGTTAGATATCGCCAAAACACTAGATATGGACAATTTATATCCTTCGTCCGAAATCGTATGTAAACGTAAAACTAGTAATACAAACTTGGAAAACATGAGAAGAAATAGTATTTATAATGCAAGGAACAGTTTTTATAGATTAGATTTATAAGTGACAGGTAATTCATAATCGTTAATTTCAGTTACTTTAAAAGCTATGTATATCTTAACGCGAATCAGTGCGTTCCAATTCACTTGTCATTATCTGGCCGTAACTTGAATTAGATGATTGAACTTAATTTCGTTAGCCCAACATGTTCAATATGATTAGCTTCTTCATTCTTCTCAAAGCTGATATTTAAGAATTATTAACCATTTGTTGTACCAAATGTAAAAGATTTTCATTATTATCTGCTTGAAAACCTACCTTCTTTGAAGAGATTAATAATCTTAGTAGTCAACAACATTTCGTAACACTATCACTTGTACCAATGATAGTTGCTTAAATACATTTGTTGCATGATATTATCTGTTGAGAATAACCATCTTTTATTTGAAGTCCTAGATTTATGTGATTTAATATGTTTTGAAACTTGAATTTTTTAAAGTTAACTTCCCATATCAGTACAATATGTTATTCCATAACATTGTACATCCCTTTTTCTATAATGCAATATAATACATTAAGATAATTTGTATTCTAGATATAATATTTGGTAAAATAAATCTCTACAACTTGGTAATATTAGTTGATCCTTCTCTTACAGCGAGGTGTGTATTAGTATTGATGAATGTGATTTTTAAATCTGATAATTCGCCAAGAAAATGCTTTAACTACTGCGGGTTTGCAATTGTATTTAGGCCTTAGCTTATATTTGCTTAATTAATATACCTGCTGTAATAACTTTCAACGGTTATTTATACGCTTTCACTAATTTTTATTTATCAGCACTTCAAAAAAACTTAACTTCTTAACTACCATTGCCGATGTTTTTTTTTTGATCTTAATCTCTCATTTCTTTCTATTCATGCAACTAATTTTTAGGCTTCAGAAATTCGTTCATCGGCTTGATGGAATACTCAATACTTCAAATGTATTATTTATTTCACTTTATTCTAATCCTAATAAATTTATTAATATTACTTATTCATTTTTGTGCTGGAAATGAAAATTATATTAATAAAGCCTATATAATATAAAGAGAGATGGATTTTAATATCAACTTATTTTGTACAAAAAGGTGGTGGCACAGAAACGTCAACTGTCATATTAATTTGATTAATAATGAGTTGTAATTTCGTAAACAAGACTTATGTCGTTTTCATCAGAAGCATTATTTTCTTTAAATCATCGTTTAAGTTATTATTGTTAGACGTTAAAATGTAAAAATCTGTGTTTTTACCATCTCCTGCAGCAAAATTCTTTCTTTATGTGGAACTAAATTTAACATTTTTATAAAATTACATTCTTGATAAGATTAAGAGTAAAGTTAAAAAACTTTAAATACAATCAAGTAATTGTATATTAGATAAAGTTTTTTAAAAAAAAATGCCTAATTCAAGGCTACAATAAATTCAATAAACATAATGAGGATATCAATATTCATGATGATGAACTATATAATTTATTATAGTCGGTTTGTCAAAGTTATTTGATCGACCGTTGACCATAACCTTTCACTTTACGTAGATTCAAGTCTTTGAAAAATTTTATCTTTTATTTTTTTTTTTTTTTTTATTTAACGGGAACTTTATCTCTTCGATCTTAAGATAAATCTTACGGAGGGATCTTCCTAGGAAGAAAGAGGAAAAAAAACAAAATTTATTTATACCCGAAATTATTCTTCGGTCCAAGGGTCTTAAATTTAAGAAAGAAAAATTAAATAAAATAGCATTTTCATAGGAAGTGAATCTGAAGAAACTATTCAGATTTTATGCTGCGTTGAAAAAATCGAATTAAAATGGGACAATTATTAAATTTAAGAGAGAACAAGAGTTTATATTATAATTAAAGCTCAGTTTAACAAATTGTTTTCTAATAGTAAGTACTCGAGGTATTGAAATATTTCAATAATTCCTTCCATTAATCAATTATTTATTAAAGAATTACTTGAAAAACGTTACAGCATTAACTAAATTTTGCTTATTGATTCATTTTTGCGTTCAAAGAGAATAGATAATTTAAAACATGATCATTCGAAAGTAAGTTTAGTAAGATTATACATCTAATACCAATTCTTAATTATATAATTCTATAACTCAAGAAGATATGAGCAACACGTCCTAGATTTAAAGCCTTCGATACGAAATTTCACGCACAAGCTAAGCATACTGATCACTTCAAGAAGGTTATCAAACAATAATATTTTATATACGATTAATATTTTCATTCTATTGCATTCAAGAATTCAAAACCTCTTAGAAAAATTGCAACTTCAAAGGCAATTGTTATTGAGATTGTCTTCGAAAAAAGGAGAGTATCAGACTATACAAAACGGAATTGGACATGAATCAATTGCGTCAAGGTATTGACAAAGTTACTCTTGTTGTAATAAAGTTTCTGAATGTATCAAAGGCGGTATGAATAATTACCCGTTATAATGATATGCACATTTTTAATAAACACGCATGAAAGTTGCATTATAGATTTTATTAGTGTTACCGGTGGTGATATTAATTTTCACATCCAAAAGAAATAATCAAAACTGAAATTGTATATTTATTCGATTTTGAATTTATATAATAGTAGAAAAGGTTGCGACAAGCATCGGAATCGAAAACCCGCCATCGAAACCCATCGAAATCGAAAGGTTCCGTCTTTTGCCAAAGTGGGATTTGGATTTGCCCCGCAATCTTAATTGTAGAAATTTATTAAATAATACATGTAAAATATTTAAGTATTCTCAATAATACACTTCAAAATACATGAGATAATATAGAAATTAGGTAATTTTTAAATTAATAATATTTTTTAATCAAAGAAATCAATATAGAACTACCAAATTATTGGAGAAAATAATTAAACAATAAATGAAAAGATCGAAGAATTATTGACGAGGCAAAAGACCATTGAAGGACGGTTTGACAAAATGGAGATAAATCATGAACAATAAAAATTAACGAAAGTAATAAAACTTTTATATTTATATTATATTTATTATTATTATTTTACTATTATTTACCATTGATGTTTTATTTTATTTAGGACATTATAAATGTTGTCGTAAAATTATTTTTTAATAAATTAATCCAGATTAAGATATGGCCGAAATCTATAGTAAAAATTTAAGCGAAATCCGCTGTGGTTTTCTATAATAAAAATATATCTCAACAGGTAATATTAGAACATTTTTGCTTTAATTATTTAACTTTTATATTAACAAATAAATTTACATTTTAGTTAATGTACAAACATAGAAGTCTTTAACTTCTAGAACAAAGGACGCTTTGATTTAGATTTTCGGGAAAGTCAATCTGCCCCAATAAGAAAAATGCAAGCTCCAAATAAATACATAGGTGAAAAGCAATGACTTCTGTGAAGCAGTGCTTCGAAAAATTAAGGGAACCAATTATCAAAGATGGAAAACCACCGGGACAGCCCGCCGTGTCCTAGAAATACTTTGGCCGGATACAAGAATAACATCAAATGTACAAAATTGTTCAATTTATATTAGATCCAGTCAATGTAAATATTCAAATTACGATAAAGTTATAAGGAATTTGATAAGTATTATAAAGTTTTAAGTTTTAGTAATGTTAGATATAAAGAGTCATAAAGAAAATTACCAAGAATTCAACTAGTAACAGATTAAATATCCAATCAATTCCTCATAAATTCTATACTTTTTTTTGGCAGTCTCTATTTTACCAAATGTAGGCGCAAATTCGATAGAACCTGAATTCCATATTTCCACGTTAACGTTCTATCTTGTATAGCTTTGACATTAAGATCATACGCGATGCCGTCTCGAACGAATGCTTGTAATGTTCCTTTACGATTTTAAAACTGTGATGTGCTGCAGTATCGGCTGATGGAAATGAATAGAATATAACGATTATAAAGCATGATAATTAATATACATACGTTCTGTTGTAAATTCGATGTTACTTAAATTAAGGGAAACAATAATCCTGCGTTATATACCGATCTTGGTTGGTTATGACAACATATTTGAGAACAAATTTATGTTTTCTAAAATGAATAAAAAAAAATTTATTGAAACTTATTATTAACGTACATACTCAGGATACAGGAACAACTTGTTCAGAAAATTTTGATAATAGGTTGTCGTTTCTCAAAAGTCTCTTTGATTTAACTTCCGCATTTGAGTCAATAATCTACAATGGCTTGTTTGTAACTTTATTGGGACGAGTAACCAAGGTTATTATTCCTTTGTAATCCGATAAATGTAACTTAAATATTCTACATTGTTCTTCCAAATCATCCAATTCTTCGTCAGGTTTTTTTCCAATGCAGAATATCCCTGAAATGTAACGTTCCTTATATTCCTTATCATATTGAAGTATTGTAGGTCTTTCGTTGTTCCTTTGTTAAAGTACGCGAACCAGAAAAAGTAGTTCCAAAGTCTATTGCAACAAGGAATCTAACATCCGTAGAGCCATACTTTCTCCTTATTTGAAAGAATAAAAATATTAAATAAAAATTGGAATTATTTCGAAAGGGAAATTTCTAAAATGGGTTGAAATCTTACCTTCAAAGTCATATTATAATATGACAAAGAGTCATGAGGAACGCCGCGCAATATATGTAACTTTCAAAAGGTAAACAAGTTTCCTCATTTCTTAAATAATAACCATATTTCATTGTCAAAGATAAGCATGAAAAACAAAGGGGACCCTACATTGCTTAAATAAGAAAAGCCACGCAATATCAGCACGTCAAGCATCAAAATAAGGTTTTTTTTTGTAATATTGCAGATACGTGAACATTTTCAATTTTTTTAAAAAAAAAAATCAAAATAATAAACAATTCTCAAATGGACTTAATTTATTATTTTTTTTTTTTTACATCCACAACCGTTCTCAAAAAGAGAAGAAAAGTGGTTGGCTTCCTTGCAAAAGATTCTTTAATTTTATAAAATGCAAAAAAAAAATTTTTTTTTTTAAAATTGTACTTCTTTATATGAAGTTGGCGAATTCTATCTTGTTCTATTACTACCGAAAAAAAAAAAATAGGACAATATTGTAAACTATTACTAACTTTTACAAAAAAAGATTGTGAATTTGTATCACATTTTCCTATATTCAAAAACTTGTTCAAAATATTTAAAATAAATAAATGTGTCTGTCTAAATTCCTTCACCGTGAAAGAATATAATCGGATACGGAACATGATTTCAATAGCAAACTTCCCATATAATTACACTTCCAAAATCGACCTGAAGAGAATTTAATTAATTTCCCGAATAAATATTATTAAATTCAAGGGTCTTTAGTAATAACCTTTATTGATTTAGTAATAAATTGGGAAGTTTGCTATTACAACATAGTAGATTTATAAGATCCGTAACTCGATTTTCGCAGGCTTGTTCTTCAAGAGTTTCAACAAGGAGTATAAGACCCAATTTAAAAATGAAATAAATTCTAAAACATTCATTAATAATAAGAACGTTTTTAATAAATAACCATTTCATTTAACACAAAATATTTTGTATAATAAAAAATCATTATAGAAATTATAGAATCAGTAATCGATTTCTTCAAAGCTGTTTATGAAAATGTTTGATACCAAAGTTTTCACTTATGATTATTATAATTATGAATTGGTGGTCTATATGTGGTTAAGCCGCATACGGAAGAAATTACTCTTTATATATACTTTCAGGTACGGTGAATTGAGAAATAATGCAGATTCTTGTAATAAGATCTGCTTCATCATCAATTTACCGTAGATTTTATAAAAATGAACTTTACTTTGAATGAAAAATTATCGAAAACATTTATAAACATAAACATAGGATTAGGATATAATGCGATTACAGATATTTTTACTTTCATTATATTGGACGTATAATATAACGAGACCAAGAACTTACCCGTTATCTATATGGTTCATCTAAAAAAAATACGAATATTTTAGAGCAATATTTAATGTTATATTTAGCGTGTTCGCTGAAATCTTTTAAAGCAAGCAACGAACCAAAATTTAAAATTATCAATATTCAAGATCCGTTTTATGCAGGCTATGAGAGTAGAATCAGTGCGTTTGAATTGTATCGTAACGTACTACTATAATACTGGATAATATTATAGAGTACAGACGATTAAATTACGCGAACGATTTTCTATATTGCAAGTAAAATTTTATGAAATTATGAGCGAAAAAATTTATTAACGAATTTGTAAATTATTCAAAATAATCAATTAAAATTAATAATATTAAGTTACTTTGACAGTTAGATACTAAAAGTGAATTATATTACAATATTTTATATATATTTGTTGAGAATCCTTAAACAACACAACATACACGGCCCTCCCTTCTTATTATTGCATTCATACTCTTAAATCCTTCCTTTTCTCTTTTGCGATATTATCTCTTTCGCCATTTTAACCCATTAATTTTAACGTTGTAACTTCATGCTATTTTTAAATTTCGATTTCTTATTTTATTTTTATTTTTGTATTTTGCGTAGTTTTAATTAATTAGTATTTCTTTAGTGATTAGCATTTTTTAGTTTTTTAATATATTGACATTGCGAATGTGTAAAGCGCTGACGTTGAGGCAACACTAATTAATTGATATATTTATCGTCATAATTACTTCGTTTTTCTTAATTAAATCCTTCTGCTTACTCAGATTCTTTTTCTTTGAGATAGATATACAGTATATATTATTTAATGCTTTTCACATTTTAGCTAACTTATAATTAAACATAAAAAAATAATAATCTTGTCTATTTGTAGTAATTGAAGAGTCAACTTGTTTTTTGTTCAAGGTATGTTCAAAATGTAGCATTACTTATTTTTATTTTTCCCGGAAGGTCCTATATTATGATCACGCATGTGTTGCGGTTATATTTATATTAAGTATATCACGTGAATAATCATGTTATCCTTCACTTCATAAAGAATAACAAGGGAGATAATAATATTTACAATATTTCATAAATAAAAAATCATGTACTTAGTTGGAATATGATATGGAATTTAACGTGATCTTATTTTATGACGTATATGAATATTTAAAAGTTATTTGAACGTGTAATTGACATTAATTTGTGATCCAGTACGTCTTTAATTATGCTTGTGCTTCAACAAGAACGCTCGTAAAATAAAAAAGCTAAGTCATAATCGTCGAGTAAACTTATGAGAGAACATAATAGATCTTTGTTTTTTTTAATCTAGATAATTAATATGGCTATAGTTGCGGGGCAAAACAATTTTAGCGAATCCCTATTTTCGATTTCTCTTTGCGACGGGGATTTTTAATATATTTATTATACTTTTGATTATTTGTTTCGTTGTCGAATTTTAATGGGTTGATTTTGATTTCTAATTTGACGACTTCACCGTTTTTTATACTTATTCTGCATAAACTTAAGAATGCAAGAAAAGATCAAAATTTAACATTTACAGTTCGTGTTAAAAAAGAAATTTATTAAATATATTTCCAGAATCACAACCCAAACATATAATAACCAGCATATTGATTCCAGATTATAACCACATGAAAATCTTTTTTTTTCTAAAAACTCATGAGTCCATAATAACGAATTTAAAATATAAAATACTAAATCGTGATGTACAATTCTCTCTTCGTATAAACAGAAACTGCATGTTACGAATACAAATATTTTTAGTGAACCTCTCGCGTTAAAAATCGGTTCATAACTTAACAAACCACTGTTAAAAACTTGTTTATGAGATAAGATCGAATATAATAAAAGTTTAATATAAAATCATTTATATATATATTAAGCTAATTTTATATTTGAATAAATTTACTCGAACTTCAACGTGATGATCTGAAAACTTAAATAAGTTAAAAAATAAATGTACATTTTTGAACATTTTTTTTTAAAAAAAATAAAAGTTAGAAATCAATTGAATAATATTGGATATTGATGGAATAAGCTAATGATGATGCACTCAGAAATATTTGAAGGATAATTTTTGAAAAGCTTACTCAAGAAGATAAATGCATCTTTACATTCCAATTGGTATGTGTTTTGTCGTGTTGAATGAAGAAATTCTGCATCATGAGTTGGTAATCTTATGAAATATATTGTGAAGGTTGTTTTAATACTTAATATATATAACTATAATTGCGTTCAGGCTATAAATAATTCGTCAAGGTAACCGATTTTGGATTGTTAAAGCGTAAACTAATAAGTCAAATGTTTTTGGAGTAATTCCTTATTAATCCAAAAAGTTTTAATAGAACAACAAATGATAAATTTTCGCGCTACAAACTAAATGAAAAAGTGATGTTACAATATTACTAATTTTTTAATCAATATCGAATTCTAATGCTTTAGAAACATAATCTATATATAATAAATGCAATTAGTTTGTGCTTACAGTAAATATCATTAATTTTAATTATAAGTGTTTACTTACTATTATTAAATTTCTTATTCGCTTCGTTTTCATTGAATTTGTTATTTTTAGTATTCTTATCTATAAAAAAAAAAAAAATTCTTTTAATAAAATATTTTAAGAATAAATTAATAAATAATTTATCATACCATTATCACTGTCAGATTTTCTTTTATCTTTGAGACGATACATATATTAATTAATGATTATAATAACATAAATCTGATTATAAAATAAAAACTATTTACCAAAAATGCTTTGACTATTCGAACTTGTAGATTTTGTATATTTAATTAATCTACTTGCATTAGTAATTAGATTATTTGTTACTATAGGTCCAATATCCGATGATTTTATAATTTTGGTAGGATTTCTTTCTTCATTCAAAATAATATTATCATCAATTAAGAAAATAATTGCAAGGGCAGTTGGTCTTATATTTGGATTAGAATGCCAACATTGTTGCATTATTTTAATATAGCCTTCAGGTGCATTTGTATTAATCTGAGGGCGTAAACCATCACAAATTTCAATAATAAGATCTGTATCATAAATTCGATCCCAAAAAGGTCTTCTACCTGTCATTAATTCCCACATAATCATACCAAAGCTATAAATATCAGATGATTTAGTATATTTATTGCTTTTTAGCCCTTGAAATACCTCTGGAGCAATATAAGGAATAATCCCATAACTCTTATCTTCATTATCTTTTAATTCAGTTGATAATTTACTAATACCTAAATCACTAATTACAACATCATAATCATCATTTTTAATTTCAATTAAAATATTTCCACTATGAAAATCTCGATGAATAATTCTTTGATTATGAATCATTTCAAGTGCAAAAATAATTTTTCGTAATATATTCAATTTTTGATTCCATTTAAGATTATAAAAGTTTTCAGCAATAAAATGTTTTAAATCATGTTTATAATATTTCATAATTATTGCAAAATCCTTTGTAATTGGATTTTGAGTAATTCCATAATATCTATTTAAACAAGATATAGTATTTATAAATCCATTATTTAAATCAGCATTATAAATCATCATAAGCTAAATTTTAAAAATATTTAAAATTATATTAATAATAACAAATATAATAATTAAATAAAATACCTCATTTAATTCTTTATAAGTAATATTTTTTGAATTATTAAGTTGCTTTAAAGCAACTATAATATTAGAATCAACATTTTCAAAATTTTCTTTTTCTTTATTCCAAAAAGGTGGACCATCATTCCAAATAACTTTATAAACTTTACTAAATCCTCCTATACCAATAGTCTCTATATTTTTAAATTGATTATAAGGAATAAATATCATTCTACGAAATTCTTGAATAAAATTAATTTGTGTAAATTCAATAAACCTATCAACAGTCTTATTTCCACTTGATTTATATAACAATTTAGATTGATAACAAATAATACAAATATTATGATATTCTTTTAAAGGTCTTCTTTTTTTAAAACAATAATTACATTTATTATAAATATCATTTTCTTGAGTATTAATTAATCCTCTCATTATTAAAATATTATCAATTTTCAAATTATTTAACTTATAGTCTAAATTCACAATTTTTAATGCTCTTTGATATCCATTGATTAATATTTGTAAACTCTTTTCTATTCCATTACCTGAACAATATAAATTTCCTTGAATAAATTGTGCTTGTTTATTATTACTCTCAATAGTTTTTTGATACCAATAAGAGGCCTTTTCTAAATTTTTTTTTGTTCCTTTACCATTAATATATAATAAACACAGAATATTTTGTGCATGTGAATTATTATTTTCAGCAACTTTTTGATACCAATAAATGGTCTCTTCTAAATTTTTTTCTGTTCCTTCACCATTATAATATAAACATGCAAGATTAATTTGTGCTTGAGTATAATTATTTTTAGCAGCTTTTTGAATCCAATAAAAGGCCTTTTCTAAATTTTTTTCTGTTTCTTCACCATTATAATATAATGAACCCAAATTATTTTGTGCAATTGCACAATTATTTTCAGCAGCTTTTTGATACCAATAAAAGGCCTTTTCTAAATTTTTTTCTATTCCTTCACCTTGATGATATAAAGTTGCAAGATTATATTATGCATCTGTATAGTTTTTTTCAGCAGCTTTTTGATACCAATAAAAGGCCTTTTCTAAATTTTTTTCTGTTCCTTTTCCAATTTTATACAAAATTGCAAGATTATTTTGTGCTGTTGCATTATTATTATTAGCAGCTTTTTTGATACCAATAAAAGGCCTTTTCTAAATTTATTTCTGTTCCTTTTCCATTTTCATAAGAACTTGCAAGATTATTTTGTGCATTTGAATTATTATTTTTAGCAGCTTTTTGATACCAATAAAAGGCCTTTTCTAAATTTATTTCTGTTTCTTTTCCATTTTCATATAAACATGCAAGATTATGTTGTGCTTGAGTATAATTATTTTCAGCAGCTTTTTGATACCAATAAAAGGCTTTTTCTAAATTTATTTCTGTTCCTTCTCCATTTTCATAAGATACTGCAAGATAAAGTTGTACTATTGCATTATTATTTTCAGCAGCTTTTTGACACAAATAAAATGCTAAAGTATTGTTTTTTTCAGTTTCAAACCCTATCTACTTAAATATAATTGTGCAATAGGATAATCTCTTGCTACTTTTTGAAAGCATATAAATCCTTCATTGTTGTTTTCTAAACTAAGCAGATTATAATAATAACAAATTCCAAGAAAGAAGACATATTTTGATTCATTTTGATTTACTTTAATCCAGTTCAAAATAATGTTGGTTGATTGAGTAGAAATAGCAATGCATTTATTAATAATATTCTTCGTTTCTTTAAAATCTTGACCTTCGTCTTGTATTTTAATCAATAATTTAAATACTTTATCAATTAGCGTATTGATATTATCTGTTGGATTAATAATTTCTGATATAACACTGTGTTCTGATTCTGTTTTTGTCATGATTATTGGGATAAATAAAAGATAGAATCTGTTCGTATTATTAAAAAAAACCAAAAATAAATGTTATACAAATGATTCTGATATATAGAACCTTTGCAATAGAAAGAAGGGAAACAGCCGGAAAAAATTAATTTTTACTTTTATAAGCCAAATATGATTTTTAGGTCAAAAAATATTCAGATTTAGCATTAACTCATTTTTTATTTTTTCCAGCCGTTTCCCCCTTTTCTATTGCAAAGGTCCCATATGATTACACATTCTCAGATCTGCAAATTAATAAACATCAACATTATTATTATTATGTAATTTCCTTATATGAACCAATTCTAAAAATTATAAAATGTTTCTATGTAAAGTTAATCTAATTTTCTTAATAATGCGGCGCCGTGGTTTTTTTTAATTTTGTATTTATGACGCAACTATTACGAATTGCTCACCTCGTAAATTTGTTTTTGAAAAATCGCCGGTTATATAGAGACTAGAACCACACTCGAAATGGTAAAGATCTGCACGAGTTTTAAAAGTGTAACAATTAGCAGATTAATCTAACGCTAAATTTAAATTCAATTCGATTTACGAAATATAAACTTATTTGTTAAAATATCCATGCTAAAATTTACTAGACCGATTTAACAGGTATTTCAACTTATGATAACATTTTGAAATTAGTTAATTCACGGTATAATCAGTGTTTGTAATACTGATTTTCTATTTTATTAAACTAAAAGGGAAACCAATTATTATCGGATATAATAAATTCTGGACCAATCAATTGTGAGAAATAGATCATGTGAATAGTTTGTAACACATTATTAACCTTACTTTTACAATGACCGAACCCACGGAGAACGACGACAAAAAGATACAAACTATGCAGTACGCTTCGCTTCTTTATATATTTTTATATTTGACCAATTTAGATTTATTTATCTACTAAATATCAAAAGACATGAATTTCATAATGTTTAATAAAATTGTTTATAATATTATCATTAACATTTTTTTGTTTTGTGATTGGAGCGGTTATCATTAAGCCAATAATCAAATAAAAAATAGATAATAGATACGAGACATCATATGATCCGAACCATCATGTAAAGATTTATTATTCAAGTACTATTATGTTGACAATTTTGATATTAAATTTATTTTCCTCCTTTTACATACACTCATGTTACAATGAATTTGAAAAGGTTTTTCCAATGTGGCAGCTTCAACGAGTTATGACATACAGTAAATTACAGTATCATATCATATCAGTTTTAAACTAATAACTATAAATCAATGAATTATATATTAAATCAGATCCGTACATTAATTAAACAAGCTAATTACCTATAATCAAAACCATTAGCGTTATCATAAATCAAATTCTGCTCGCATTATTTATTTTCTTTTCAGATTTTTTATTATATTTACGATACGTTGTATGTAACAGTTGGATATCCCTATTTTTTTCGAAATTGTAATTAATTTACTTTAAAAGAAATTTGCAATTGTAAATTGATTGATGATATACGTGGCTATTATAATAAAGTTATCAATAAATTACGAGCTATCATTTTTTTCCCAAAACTATAAAGTCCTATAATTATTTAAAAAATCTTTCTTCCATATAAAATGTAATAATAAATGATTGCTGTGTAAATGCGACGTTGAATGCAAGACATGAACAAGAGTCCTTTAATAGTTTAATAGTGGAAGTGACTACATATGAGTCACGCTTGAATCAAAATGATTTTACATCACATGTTCTCATAACTTGTTTCTTAAAAAAATATAAATCAATTATATTTACGCCTTATACTTTTTTAATTTAGTTTGATCCAAAGGATGTGAGTATCTTTATAAATCATTTGTCTCTCAGGTGATAATTTTTAAAGCACAAAAATTTTTATAAAAGTTTTAATGAGCATAATTATTTTACGTGCATAGTATAGATTTATTAGAATTTAACAACTTATTTGTATGTATTTATACTGCTGATGCGGCAAGATATATTTAAAAAAAAAAGAGGAATTATAATTACTTCGCGAATGCAGCGCCACCATTTAAATATATCTACACTACAAAGTTGTCGCCAATTTCGTATTTTATCATTCAACTATTTAGTGAAATTATTGCTCCATTAGAAGACGGCTTTATGATTTCGCACGAAAAAGTGGACATAAAAATTTATAAAGTAGCACAATGTGGCATAATCCTGTAAAGAATGATTTTCAACCATTTTTTTTAAGCGTGGTGAGCCGCAGTATCAAATTGGACAATAAATTTAAACGAATGATTTCGACGAAGGCAAATATAGCGGAGTGCTATTACATAATAAGACGATTTTGCGGCGCAATAAACTATCGTTTATTTATGATTTAAAATTTGCCTTGTGAAAATCTTGTAACAAGACAATTATATTGTGTTTGTCATTACATGAATAGATGACAAGATTTAAAAATAATATTATAAAATTAAGAAGGTGTCGAAAAAGATTATAAAACATTTAATTATTAGATTTACTAAAGAAAATATATTATAAAAAGACTGTAAATTTTGAAATTAAAGTTGCAACAATACAAACTTGCTCTTATATAAAAATGGAAATTTTTGCTATTATTTTACAAAAGAAATTTGCTTCTTCCAACCCGTGGATAAAAAACACGTCAAACAAGGTAAATGTATGTAACTAGTTTTGTAACGTCTAGAATATGGTTTTTTGACAAGTATCAATTTAGCAAATTGCAACAGTTACACACCTTATGTTTCGATTTATTACAGTATACTATAAAGCATTTAATTGTTACTGAGGAATATTCACGTCATTATGATTAATATATGAGTATATTAATTAAACAGACAAATAATGGCTTCTTTTTATATATAGATTTTACATTTATAGTTCGAGTAATTTTGTACTACCGTGTCACTTTCAACATAAGCTGTAATACGAAACTTTTAATTGATACTAAAGCAACACTTGTCAATGCAAATTTTCGATACAATTTCTTATTCAATGAAACCCCATACAATCCTCTGCTATTTGATAATATGACAAGCTCCTCAGCAACAATAATGTTATAAAATATTAACACGCACGTGAATATATATTCAGTTATATTTTAGAAAAAAAAATATCAAAAAATTTGTTTACTTACTCGAACACATTGCAAGGTTTTTTTTCGTTAAGACTTACCTACTCACCAAGTGTCCTGCCGCTACAAAAATTGACAACAAACTTATAACTTTGCGAAAATGAGTCAAGGACTTTTTAAGGAAAAGGGTTTTCCTGACATCAAATGAATATGAAAAAAAGTTATTCAGAAGCACTGAGAGTGTTATTCCAACTAAAGACCAAGTCATTTTTTTGTCTTGAAGACATTTCTTTCAATAAATCAATCCTCATTCTCACATACCAAATGACAACGTAGTTAACTTGATATCGACAAACTTGACCAAATTATTCATCAAATATGTAAGACGTTTTCATAAATGAAACTGGAGACTGGAACGGCCGTGTCGAAGGCTAAAGATCTGGAGATTTTGTTACAATATATCTTGCTTGTTAGGAAATACACTTCCGATGGTACAAAGCTCATTACCTGCAGCTCCATTTAAACCCGTCAGCGATCTAATGTAGGTCCCCTCCTAATTCTTCAGCCGTTAAAGGTAAATCACTCCTAAGGGCAATTCTGTTGATGATTCAATGCACAATCCCAAAAAGGATGAAACAAACGCGTGTACCATGTAAAACTCAACCCAACAAGTAATTAGGAATTTGCTAGAAAATTATTTTTCCAAAAGTGATTTAAATCTTTCAAGTGCAACATTTCTGCCGAAACCAATTTAAGAAATAAGTCATAAATCTTTCATTTGGTATTTTGTATTCGCTTATACACCAAAATTACATTCTTTTTCTACTAAGGTTGCCGGGCAAAACCTGGATGTTTCGACAGGTATCGAAATCGAAACCTGTCGAATCCATTGAAACCCAAAGGTTTCGACTTTTGCAAAATGGGAATTTGGGTTTTGCCCCGCAACCTTATTTTCTACCAAATTTATGCAATTCGTATTAATACAGCTTCAATGGGATTTTAATTCAAATGTGTGTTTTTTTTTTTTTTTTTTTTATAGTCCAAAATGTTCTCGCAATGAGTCAAATAAAAGGAGAACTTAAACAAAATTGATTAGAAATAAATAAAAAATTTCAAACATAAACGTATCAATTTCAAAAAGAAGTTGCTGCGAAAGATATTTGATGATATTATGATCCTGAAGATTCAGAGCATGAAATTGTACCAAATCTTGAATGGAAATATTTAAAGAATGGATTGACATGGTAGAATAATACGAATATGAAGAAATGTCAAATGAAGAAAATTTTAAAACAATTCGATAATATTATGGATTTAGATCAAATCTTTAAAAAAGTACATCCACATAATAAAAAGCTAAATTAGAGGCTTGCATGAACCGAAAATAAATACTTCGCTATAAGTTTATCCCATAAACTGAAATAAAACTTCAACCTACAACTTATTAAATGCTTTTATTATTATTTAATAATATATATTATTTTTTTCTGTAATGTAGAATAATTATACTGGTTTAAAATATTTTAGAGTCATTTTTAGTTTATTTAGTATATAAAACGATTTTATTCACTACAAATAATAGAATTATACCAAATGTTAAATTGGACAACACTGGACGTTAAGAAAGTAACATATCCTAAAGAAAATTAAACGCAAATTCTAAAATTATTTCCTTTAAATAATAAATTAGCGGGACTACCCCACTTCAGAAGGTAAACTCAAAGGAATTATTATAGATAAGTTCTTAAAAATGAAAAACAAATTCAACAAATATTAAGCTTCATGAAAATTATATTCTTTTTCATCCTATGAAAATTAAATACATCGGACATTCATTTGAAGCGAGCATATGTCTAAGGTTAGGCCTAAATACGATAATATGAATATGTAAAAAGCTGAAGCTAAAGCATTAAGTGATGAGTTTGATTCTATCATGTTTTGTTTTTTTGATAATTAATTAATTATTATTATTATTTAGGTTACTTGCTGCGGTTAATTTATTTATTATTTTTGTTAACTGGTTTATTTTCTCTTTCGGCATCAAATTCTTTCGTGTTGGGTCATAGTAATTGATTTTAATTTCGTTTCGGGTTAGAACGCTTCAATTTATTAAATAAATATATATATATATTTAGGTAAGTATTTCTTTGTAATTTGTTATATTTACAAGATTATAACTCTATTTTGTGTAAAAAGAATAAATTTGGTTTTACGAACCACAGCGCACATTCAACAAATAATTGTATTTATATATAGAAAAATCGATCTTTTGTATTCTTCTTATAAAGTTGATTAAAATGAGTTAGGTTGACAAGTACGATACTTGTTTAGGTTGTTGAGTATGACTAAGTATAAAAATCTTTATCTGGGGTAGCAGATTGAATAACTTGAACAACGCTCCAATGCAATGAGTTTGTCCAAACTTCGTTTCTAAAGAATGGTTACCTTTAGTAATGAGGTGAGTTCATTTAAATCTTCTGTTTTGAAATAATGAAAGATCTTGTTGAATGTGTTTCGTAGAATTGTGATATTTTTTTAAAAATGATATACATGTCAAAATTTTGTTTCAATCTTCTGACGAAATCGCATAATTCAGCGATCATAACATTTGTTTCTGGAAAGATCAATATTAATATTACCACAGTGAATATACATTAAAAAAAGTTCATAAATTTACGTAAAGTTATTTAGCCATACTAACTGCGCCACTAATAATTAGATTCGATTTTGGTAGATTTCTAACTAAACTAATTTTAATTATGACAAGAACGTAAATAATTGCATCATATACGGTATATATTTTCTCTAATAAGTCTAAAATCTGGGAAAAAATATTTTATGTATCGACGAAATTGCGTAATTTTTACCTTCGGATATTCGGATGACGTAAATATTCCGGAAATCAATCACAGACTAAAATTTATTATTCGTACCTTATAAAAACGGAATTTCCTTTTTTTTTTTTTGATAAAAAAAATTTTTTTCGAAAATGAATTTTTTTTACAGTAAAAAAAATTTTACTACCGAAAACATTCCTGATTTGACCGGAAAAGTTGCCATTGTCACTGGAGGCAACACAGGAATCGGATACATCACAGCGAGAGAATTAGCCCGTAAAAATGCACATGTATTCGTTGCAAGTCACAATAAAGAACGTTGCGAAAGTGCCGTAGAAAAAATTAAAAAAGAAACTGGAAATAATCAGGTAGAATTTTTATATTTAGAATTAGGTAACCTGAAAATTGTGAAGCAATCTGCTGAAAATTTCCTTTCGAAAAATTTACCTTTACACATTCTGTAAGTTCTTTTTGCCGTAAATATATATATATAATATTGGGTTAAATTTAAACCATATTTTAAATATTTTTTTAGTATCAATAACGCTGGAATTTTTGCGACGTAAGTCACAATCTGATTTATGTGCTTTACAACTTTTCGATTATAAGTTTTTATTCTAATAAAAACCAATTTAGCCCTTGGTCATTAACTGATGATGGGATCCAAGATCAATTTGGAGTGAATTACGTTGGACATTTCGTAAGTATTATATTTAATTTACTTTTAAATTTATTCAAAAGGTTAATCATATCTTTCTTTTTATTTAGCTTTTCACAATGACACTTCTAGCTAAAATTGAAGCTTCTGCACCTTCTCGAATCGTTAACGTCAGCAGGTTAGCTTACAAAGGTTTAAATACTAAAACTCAAGTGAATCCTTAGTTATGAATAATTTATATTTATTTAACCGAATTTTGTGTAAAATAGTTCATTTCACAAAATTATACCGGATGTAGGGATTGATTTCGACAAGATTAATCAAGAAGGTGTTCTAACACCTGAGCTACGTTACTGTGTATCAAAACTTGCCATGATCCTTTTTACAAAATCATTATCGAAACGACTTGAAGGCAAAGAAGTTTACGTTAATTCAGTTCATCCAGGTATTATATTTCAAAAAAAAAAAAAATAAGCAAAAAGAAATTTCCGTTCCGTTATAAAAGATTAATGTAAAAAAAAAACTTTTTTTTTTTTAGGATTTGTTAAAACCGAAGTATCAAGAGGGCTAGTTAGTACTTATGGATTCATTGCGAAAATATCGAGTAAAGTTGCTTATACTTTGTTTGCGATATCATCTGAAGATGGAGCATTAACACCATTATATGCTGCTACAAGCCCCGAAATTGTTGAAAGAAATTATCGTGATCAATATTTCGAACCATTTGGTATGATTGGAAACAGGCCTGCGGCAGCTCAAGATGAGGAACTAGCCGAAAAATTGTGGAAATATACCGAAGATTTAATCAATGTTAAATTACGTTAGCTTTTTTTGCAGAATTAAAATAATTATTTGTTAAAGTTTAAATATTAATAAATTTGTCTCGATTTTTTATAAAAAAAAAAAAAAAAAAGATAATGAATTATTTTTTTTTTTTAAAAACGATAAAAAATAAAATTATTAAAGAATTATACCACAATTATTAATATTAAGCCTAAAATGGGTTAGATTTCTTGGAGTTTGGATCAAATATCTTCAATTCTAAGCTTTTTTTTAAAAACATATAGTGTAGTGTTACTTTGTAGATACAGTCTACCTCCTGTATAGTCACAGCTCAGGATCAAAAAAATTTGGTAAAAAAGTTATATGATGTGACTATAGAAGAGATTTTAGCCTAATGAATGTGCTTATAAGAGAGGAGTGATACATAAGAGGTGACTATATAGGTTTATGAAAGAAAATTTCTTGTATGTCGTATTACTGTATCTAAAATTAGTGCTCAGTAAGGTCGGGTCGGGTCGGGTTTGAAGCATATTCGAATTCGAACCCGTTAATAATTACTGAATCCGAATTCGACTTCGAATCGAATTTTCAAGGGTAATATTATGTCGAAAAATAAAACCATTTTATTTATATAAGATAATAAAAAAAGTGACATATTAAATTGAATTCTTTGTTGTGCATCAACCCTAATTTTTGTTTTTCCACAAAATTTTCACACATACAGGCGCGAATTGTATTTAAGATTCGGCGTTATAAATAAATAATTATTTCTTTAATATAACGAATAAAGCTTTATCTCCATATTTTATCTTCAAAATAACCAAGCTTATTATAATTCATTCTATTTTTAATATTAAAAAAAGTTTTAACATATCGAAGTCGCGATAACGTAAACTAGATCATCCGGGGTTCACTGGGTTTTATTAAATTAGGACTCGTATCAAAAAAAATTATAACCCGACTCGATTCGAGCACTAGTTCTTTGATGGT